CATCCTGACACTTTGCACAAAATAATCTAGCACTTTGAAGGTAAATAGAGCAGCAGCCATTTCCAGGCGCAAGCCACCCAGAAGGTAAACCTCTCTTAGCAAAATAAAGCTCTTTAGAAGAGCGCGAAGGACGTTCGGCGAATAAGACGTCGAAAAGCTCGTGGCGTCCGTGGTAAGTATCATGACGTGACACAAATGTTGCGCATGCGCAATTTCCCATCTTGTCAAGTGGAAATTTTCGGAAATTTGAAACTTTAGACTGACGCATTTCCGTTTCCCCTCGGTGAATTTTTTTTTTATTTTTTGCACGTTAACTTTGAACGGCTCTGTGTGTGTTTTACAAAGATTCGAGAAAATTCTGTCAGAGCGGAAAAAAGTTAACGATGAATTCTAAAAAAGGCCTCTTTTCCTTAAACTTTCTGACAGAATTTTTTTAAACTTAGCAGTCAAGTAGACCGAGACAGTCAAAGGACGCATGCAAAATCTAAAATAAATTCACCGTCCAGTTTTTAAGAAAGTTCAAGTCAAGTCTAATTTAGGAGCCAGCATTGCAACCCAGCAACGTTGCCATGGCAACGAATTTTTCAATATATTTATAACAAACTGATTCTTCAATGATATCTTTATTTCAGGGGAAAATGTGATCGCGATTCGTTAAAGCTAAGCTTCGTAATTTTAGTTTAAATATCTTGCATCAGAAAAGTGAAAAATTATATCCAGCCTCCTTAAACATAGTAAGCGGTAAAGGATAGAGAGGTGATTACACAAAAGTTTTATAATCATTGCAACAAGCAACATTTTTTTTTGGAGTTTTTCTCTTTTCTCTACGCCGATCTTGATCGCCCTTCTCAAAAAATCCTCTCTTTATTCGCCTTCCAAACTCCTAGCTATATAGAATATTTTATAGAAAAGGCGCAAAACAAATAATAAATGTTATTGTTATTGTGATTGTTAGCTTAATAAGTTTATTGAACTAGTTTGGCCATCTTTCTTAGTATTATTTTCTTTTCCGCTGTGCTAACTTAAGATACATTGATGAACTATGAAGAAAAAAATATCGATAAAAGTCACGGAAATATTCATAGAGTTCTCGTCGCATATTCTAGGCGACCGATTTTTCAGCAAATTTATCCTTGGGCATATGTCAGTTTTGGGACAATAAGGGGAAAATCACATGTTCATGTAGCTCTTGGTTATTTCGACAAATTAAAGCCAAATGTATCAAGAATTGGTTATCTTTTTTTCGTTCAATTTTTTTCTCAAACTCAATTAAATTGGATTCTGACTTGTATCGTAAACATTATCAATTATTAATTAAATAATTTGTCAAAACGTCCAGTGCAGTGTTTTTGAATAACTTTCAATGTAGTTTTATCTATTGAATTTCATGCCAACTGGCATAACGACAATTAAAGGAAATAATGCTGAAAACAACCGATCGGGCGACCAATAAGTTTAACCGTTTGAAATCAGTGAGGCAAGATAACGTTAGGAGACGGAGGCCAATAACTTTCACAATATGGAATGATTTTGCATAACATTGATTTTAACATATGTTCAATTTGCACCTCTCTCGTGAAGTCAGTCTCAGAATGTATCCCCGCGCCAGATCAAATCCGATGTCTTTGCATCTTCTCTTACCGTTTTGCCTGATCATGTCTTTCTTTGTCAGGTCTGAAGGTCAGTTTGATTCTTAATCATTTCTGAACAGAAGATAGTGAGTGAAATAACTCCTTCTTATCCCTTGTTAGGAATTAAGACCTTCTATTCCGCATTTGAAAGAGGTCTTCATCATCTATAAAATAGAGATAGTTTTTATGTTTTAGCTTGTAAACTGTTGTGTCAGTTCTCACTGTGCGAGTAATGATTGGAGCGATGAAAGGGGTGTCTGCTGGAAAAAAAAGGACTTTTTGTAGGTTAATCTGGTGTGTTTTTTACGTGCATTCATAATACTCCCTCTCCACCGTGCTCTTCAAATAATGTGTCCCAATCTATAAAATTTGAGGCATTTCTGTTAGATTTATGTGTGGAAAGTTCATGTTTGTCAAATATTTCGTCTGAATATGGGAGCGTATTATTTTGTTATGCAGATCTCTTAGTTTGTGTTTACTGCATCGGTTTCTTCGCTGGTAACGTCCGATTTTTTGCCCAGACGCAAAAAGCTTTTTCTTAAACAACCAGATAATAATCAACAAGGCAAGGGACCGCAAACAAATTAACGACCTATGTTACACACGTAACTCCTTGCCTGACACGAGGGTAACAAACAACAACAGTGAGGATTTCTTTAGCGCCATATCATGTAGCTCATGGTGCCTTACAACACTTTGCGGGGGACTTTGGCCAGACTGTATTCAGCATTTTACAATTTTTGAAAAAAAATTTTTAAGATGCCCCCAATATCAGAATAAAAGCCAGACTACAACTCTGAGAGCTATGTTCCCTACTCTTTGCGATAAGTTTACTGCTAACCAATACAGAGGAGATGCACGGGACGGGTCCCACGATTTTTCGTCCTTACCCATGAAGATTAGAATGTCTAACCATTTGCAAATGTCATAACAAAGGCAGTACATTCTCCCTCGACCTACCCCGTGGCAGTCCGGCACCCTACAACATGAGCTAACCAGGCGGCGGTAGCACAGGTTTTCCGAACAACAGTCGAACCTTATGGGAAATTTATTATTATTACCTGCAAGTGAATTGAAATGTGAAGCGTGCTATCGGACGGGCAGCCACCATAGCTAAATGATTAAAGGTGGTAAGTTTCTAAAGAAATTATGGTGCTGCGTTGGTGGGAGTAACAA